AAAAAAAAAAAAAAAACTATGACGAGATAGCGCATGACTTCCAAAAACAAAATTTAATAAAGAAAATCAAGAAAATGATTAAAATGATTAATGCAATAGGACTTCATCAGCATTATCATAAATGCCACAACCAAACACTCATATTTTTCAAGTCTTATCGAGCTCGAGCCTTAAAACAATGTAGTCGAGTTCATGAACGGTTTGTGTTATTTAACATCTCTAACTAATCCTACTAAATTAACATGCTTGAGCTACGAGCCTTAACAAATCTAGTTTGCGCCTTAACAAATCTAATTATATTAAAAGTTCTGAAACTCCTTTTTTTCAAGCCTAATATTTGAGTCGAGCTCGAGCCTTTGCAAATTTAATTAGTCGATCTTATGAACGATTTATTTCGTTTATCAGCTCTAACTAATTGTTCGGATTTATATATCTTGTAAAGTGGGTGAAAGAAAGTTTTAATTTAAAAAACTTTAAATGAGAAAGATCAAAAGTATACTTCTTGGAAGTGCCCACCCAATTTCTCAAATATTTCAAAATTTTATAATCAATAATAAAGGTAGAAATAGCTTTTTAGTTATTCTAGTCCTATCCATATACTAAAAATCATTGTTGACTTTGTAAACATATAAAAGAAAACTTGTAACCGTTACTTGAACAAATGAGAGCTTTTACAAAGACAATTATGATTGAATGAAAATAACATCTCATTCATTTGTTTCCCTAGCTTATCTTAACGAGTTCTATATTATAACAAAATATAAATATATATATATATATATATATATCACATGTATTTGCATTTTATAATTTTAAATACATTATCTCTGATTATTATATTTTATCTTATATTTATTTGTATTTTGGTTTTGTTCCTCCAAATAAATCGAATTAAGATTTTCGATCGAATTATCTAAAGAGGCGGATTTATGTACATGGTAGGGGNNNNGGGGGGGGGGGGGGGGCATTACCCCTCCCCTTTTGTAAATTTTATCATAATATATGTATATATATGATAACTACATCATTTATTTACATAAACTCATTATTCAATTATATTAAAATAATAATTATATTCTTTTTCTATTAATAATTCAACTACAATTATAGTCTTGTTACACTTTTGCATAACATCTTATCTTTTACAAACTACTTGAGTGTATGATATCCCCTCCCCTATATATTAGTACAGAACGCGCTGAGCCTACGTAACTGCTTCTGGTGCTTCGGAGTTCTATGTGTCAAAATTACATGTTTTGTTATTAGGCTTGGATAAATTTTAATTTAATTCCAAACCAAAAATAATTAGGTTTGGATTACCATAAATATGTTGATTACTTATGGTCATGTTACATGCATTAATTGTATTTTAATATCATTCCTTATTATAACTATTGAATTGTATATATATTTTAAATGTTAATAACTTTTGTATTTTTTATCAGTTTTACATATGTAATATATCAAATTAATCTTCTTTTGATGAGCTTCGATTTAACATCCATATTGTATGTATAAAAAAAATAATTTATATTTATCTTTATAACAATAATAAAATTATTTTTAATATTAATTAGAAAAATAATATTATTTATCAACTAATATATTTATATTTCAAGTAGTTATATGATATAAGTTATAACAACTAATATAATATAACACATGTAAGTCATAAGTAACACATATCATTCTAAATATATAGTAATATATTTTTTTTGTAACTAAATTTAATTTAATTTTCTCATTAATTTTAAAATTTAAGAATAATTTTTTAACAAGCACCCGTGTAATACACGGGTGTTGTACTAGTATATGTGAAAACACAAAAAAGGTAAATTTATAAAAAGAAGACCATATAAGACATGTTTAATAGAAAGAAAAAAGTATCAAAACAATTAGTAGTGAGTCAATCATTAATGAAATTCAAGAAAGAACATTCAACCGAAATTTGTTACCGCTAAAGTTTGAAACTTTATAATTTATATTGCACTATTATTATATTACATATTTATTTTATAATAAAACTTTCTATTTTTTTATGTACATTAAATTAAATCTATGATTATTAAAAGATATGCAGTGCCCCTAAAAGAAATTTCTAGATCCGCCCCTGATCGTCTTGAACTAAATCAACTTTCTAAACTGCACGCAAGGTGATGAAAATTGAATCTTCACCGATGTCTTGTAAATTAAGGAATTACATTTAGTTGGAATTAGTTTATCATGAAATCAATTTTCAATTTTGAATAAAGTTGTAAATGAATCGAAGGTTCGCGAATAAAAGTTCATTCGTGTTCGATAAAAGCTCGTTCATTTGTTAATCGAGCCAAGTTCGACATTAAATTAGGCTCGTTTAATAATCGAACGAACACGAACTCGTTTGCGAACGTCCGATAATGTTCACGAACATTAACTTAATATAATTTTATTTTATTTTTATATATTTGCATAATACTTTTAATAAAACATCTAAAATATAAAAGTATATTTATTTTATTTTTTATTTTCGAGTTCGAACGAACAAATTTCGAGTTAATAACATATATTTAAAAAGTGTAAATATTAAATTATTCAAACATGATAGAATTTTAACGAACAATTAAACGAATGAGCTCGAACACGATTTTTTGATAAAAAAAATAAACGAGCGAACATGAGCACTGTCGGACTTAAACGAACACGAGCTCGAACAGTCCAAGCTCGATTCGGTTCGGCTAATTTTGATCAATATTATTTTAGAAAAAAGACAAGTTTTTTTTTTTCTTTTACCTTTTTCCTATTTCCCATTAAAATTCGTGACTATAAAATCAAATAATATTATGAACTTGATAGAATTCGAATAACATCTAATCATATCAAATTCTGGTACTATTTGGCTATTTGCATAGGCATGATATTGTCTTTGAAGTTTGAAGCAAAAATAGGAGAATGCTACTATCCGGTTACGGGATGCTTCCGTTGTATTTTCTAGCCATAGATATACATGTAATCTAGTGAGGGTAGTTAATTCAACGCTTAAAAATACAACGGAATCATCTCGTAACGGGATGGCAGCATTCTCCGCAAAAATATTGAAAAACACTCAAAACATTTTTTTTTTTTTAAAAAAAATATATAAAAAACAGAAAACGAAACTAAAAAATATCACAAAATTAAAACGGCTGCAAATTTTTACTCGACCCATTTACACCGGCGATAAGCCCCAAAAAATCCTGCCTGTGCGGCGAGTAAGACCGTCTCTTTTCATCGCCGTCCCGATTACCCAGCGGCGAACGCGCCGCGGCAGGCCTCACTTTCCCGGCGATTTTGACTTTCTCCTCGCCTTCACCCGCCTTTCTCCAGCTACCGCCGCGGCTCAAAAAGACCAAAAACCGGTCCTTACCTCCATCGCTGTGGCTCCTGCGCAGCAGGTCTCCGATTCTCCACCGCTTAGACCTCGAGCCGACGGAGCTACTCTTCCCGCACCGCACCTCCGCCGCCGCCTCCTTCGGCCGCCACACGCAGTACGTATCCGCCGGCACTCCATCCAGCTCGTCCGCCCCCGACGAAGAGCTCGACGTCGTCGCCGCCGCCGGTTCCCTTTCCTCGATAAACAGCTTCATCAACGGCATCCGTACGGTAGAACCGGCGCTGCACTCCTCCTCGTCTCTTCTCCCAAATCTGATTCGATTCGGAAACAAATCCGCGTTGAAAAACGGGTAAACGGGTCGGATCTGGCCGTTGCAGAAGATCTCGTCAGCCGAGACCGGGGACGGCATCTCGGAGCCTCTCCCCGCGAAGGAGAACTCGAATTCGCTGTCCTCGCCGCTGTCTTCCCCAGGAATTACAGTATTCCAAGTCTTTTCTCTCCCTAGGAATCTCCAATTCTCTTCTCCCTCCGCACGTAATTTGTCGCGAAATCCATCGGAAGCGAATTCTCCGGCCACCCGTGCGGTGATTCCGGCGAGGCGAGTGTTGGAGTAGTTGGTGTTGAAGCTTGGAGATAGAGACATTGCAGATCTCGTTTGCATTGGGAAAGGCAAAAATGGTGATAAATTGTGTGTGTTGTGTTATGGAGAAAGTTTGTTGAATGTGTGCAGAAAGTGTGAGGATATAGCTGATGAGATTATATAGCTGTGTGAGTGGTTATTAAATTGAAAAATAAAACAATAAAAAAGGGAAGAAAAAAAAAAGTATATAAAGAAAAAATGGTCCAGAGGAACCCTAATGACCGATACGGCAGCCACCCAATCTCCCCTGCAACACGTCGGCACGGCAACCTTCGACCCCGGAGACTCCCGGAATCTTGCAACTGAGTTTCCGATCTTAAATCGCAATGATTTATTGGCAACCAAACGCCCTAAAACGCTCAAACGGGCCGGTGATTTACTGGAACGTCAGTCCCCCCCACCTATTTCAAAACCTCATGAGAATCAACCTCCTAAATGGTCGTTTCGTGATATGGTCTCTAAGCAACGTCATCACGTGGATTTACTCTCTGATGATGAAGATAAGGACATTGAGGAGGAAGGAGATGTCACTCTGGACCTCGCCCGTTCATCACCCGAAGTTAGAGTTGCGAAAAGTTTCCTTGATAGAATTTCTGATGAATGGAGGAATGTGGTCGTAGTGAAACCTTTTGACGAGTCACTCACTATGGCCTCATTATACAACCGATTAACTAAAATGTGGCCTTTTATGGCCGGGTGTAACATGATGGATCTTGACAATGGTTTCTATCTGATCCATTTTCAGCACAATGATGATACGGTGAAGGTTCTTACTGGCGGACCATATGTAGTTGGTAATAGCTATATGCACGTACAACCATGGACTCTAGAGTTTGATGCTTCAAATGAGGAGTTAACTTCAACGGTAGCATGGATCCGGCTTCCGGGCTTGCCGGCCCATTTGTACCATCAGAAGATTTTTCGTACAATTGGTAGAATAGTGGGTAAGGTTGTCAAGATTGATCAACAGACAGCAGCACTAACCCGTGGGAAATATGCCCGGCTGGCTGTCTTGGTGGACCTTACGAAGCCGTTGTGTGTGAACTTTCAGATCAATGGAAAAAGCCAACGCGTAGTGTATGAAAATTTACCTACTATATGCTTCCAATGTGGCCGGATTGGTCACTCAAGTCATAGTTTGTCTCTACAACTCTCCGAGCCCAGATAAGGAGAACCCTAAGGGTAACCACTTGCATAGCAACTCCAATAGGGTCGGTGAGGGAGACGACGGTGCGGTGGATAAGACGAGGCCCGAGGACGGACATTTGGAGCCGGCATATGGACCGTGGATTCAGGTCCCACAGAAGCAACGTCAACCATATACTAGGCGCGATAAGGGACCCGAGAAGACGCCAGCAGCTAGAAACCCACGCCAACCCATGGGGATGGGATCTCGTTTTGAACTGCTGGAACGTGATGGACCGCGGGACACAAGTGGTACGTTTGAGTTCGGAGCTTCATCGACAACTAAATCGGGGGCGGAGAAGGTACCTTACCCTGACAAGGCGATGGGCGTGGGAGAGCGAGAATGGCGGCATGTCAAGGGCAGGGGCAAGAACCGGAATAAGGCTATCGAGGGAAATCAACAATCGGGTGCAATCTCAGGGCGGGGAAAGAGCATTCAAACCGAGGGCAACACCGAGCGGGCGCGGAATGGATCGCAGACATGTGTGATCGATAAGAGTATGACACATGATGACGAGAATAGTGCAGAGATCGAAACCATGATTATATCGCAGCACCCTACGAGCAAAATCCCTGTTGGAGCTGGTTTAGACCCACTCAAACATCAAGCTTTCTCCTTTGCCGAAAAACCTGACATACTCATCTCCCCTACCACTATGGGCCCATCTGGGGATCATCTCATGATAGAGGAGGAGCAGGGTGTCACATTGCAGGAGCCGTGGCCGGAGGACCGTAGACTCCTCGAGGGGGCAAATGGACTTCCTGGTGAGCGCATGTGTATGGATGAGTACTCGGGCATGCTCGTTCAGAACTTGGAATAAGATAGGGCTTCCTTTTCTTCCTTTTCTCTTTGTTTCGACATGAATATCATCACTTGGAATGTACAGGGTGCGAGCTCGCTTGCTTTTCGAGGAGCTTTTGCAACCCTTAATCAGCAGTATCATCCCGATATAGTGGCTATCTTCGAACCGCGGATCAGTGGGGCCCTCGCCGACAAATTTGTGCGCTACAGCAAGTTTGCGAACTCCTTCCGGGTTGAAGCTCATGGCTTTTCCGGGGGCATCTGGTTATTGTGGACTGATGAGGTCCGCCTTGAAGTTCTGTTTTATTCACGTCAGTTGGTGCACGCTCGGATTACCAAAAGCGGTGTGGGGTGTCTGATGACTTTCGTGTATGCTAGTCCCAATGCGCCGGGACGTAGGGCTTTGTGGGCCGATTTGGCTGGTCTGGCGGCCCGGGTGTCAGAACCTTGGGCGATTGGAGGCGACTTTAACTGCATGCTTAGGAGGTCGGAGAAAACCGGAGGGTCTCTGAGACATTGTAATGTGAGCCAAGAGTTTGCGAACTTGCTTTTGGATTATAGCCTTCAAGAGGTGGCAACGGACGGTCATCATTTCACTTGGGTCCGTGAAACTCGTCACGGTCGGGTAGCCGAAAAGCTGGATAGATTCGTTGCAAATATATCCTGGATGGAAAAGTTTGAGATGGGGCGATCCCGTCTCCTCCCGAGAGTTCAATCCGACCACTCGCCGCTCTTGTTGAGCTTCGGACAGCCTAGCATTGCGCCCCGCGGCCAGAAGCCTTTTCGTTTCCTCGCCTCGTGGCTTCTTCATCCTGAGTTTCCCGACCTTTTGAAGGAGACGTGGACACCATCCCTAGGGTTCGAAGAGGCCGCAGCTAATTTTACATCTAGAGTTACGGAGTGGAATGTCCAAGTTTTTGGCAATATTTTTCGTCGGAAGCGCATTCTCTTGTCCCGACTAGGCGGTATTCAGCGTTGCAGGCGTTTCTACGCAACGGACCGGCTGGTGGTATTAGAAAAACAACTCCGGGCAGAGCTTGAAGAGGTTCTCCTTCAGGAAGAATTATTACTGATTCAAAAGGCCAATCGGGACTGGGCCTTCTTGGGGGACCGTAACACGTCGTATTACCACCGGCAAATTAAACATCGCAGGCGCCGGGGAAAAATTCACGAGTTAACGGATGATGCGGGACAACTAGTTACAGATCAATCCACCCTTCGCCGATTAGCCACAGAATTTTTCACGGCCATTTATACTGCAGGGCCGCAACCAGCACCGGATGGGAGTTGGAGAAATTATTTTCCGGGTTGTGATGACGACAGTATGACTGCCATGAGTGCCGACATATCGGAGGACGAAGTTCATGCGGCCTTACGTAGCATGGGACCTTTGAAAGCCCCGGGTATGGACGGTCTAAATGCGCTGTTTTTTCAAAAAAATTGGAAGATCGTGGGCCCGGGCTCCTGTGCGCTTATTAAACAAATGTGGCAATTTGGTTTTGTCCCAGATCAAATAAATCGAACT